GTACCTGCTTAGGGAAGTCTCCCTGGGCGGTGAGTTCTGGATGGTGGTGATGGCATAAGTCTCTTACCGTGTGGTTTCCGGGGGCCGATGCAGGCCTGGCACAGAGCCAGGGCTTAGTGACAATGGAACAGTACTTGACTGGGCATCTGCCCAGAGGGGACAGTATCCCCACTGCCCTCGGGATGTGCTGGGGGAAGGGCCCCCCTCTCCTCGCTTCCCCTACCTTCCCGAAGAAGTTGTGGAGCCTGGCTTGGAGGATGTAGATGTCAGCGTTGGTTGTGCCATGCTTCACCTCCTTGATGACAAGTGAGAGGCAGTCCTGATATCGCCTGAGGGCCAGGAGACAGGCCATGCTGCGGACAAAGAGCAGAGGTGCTGTCCACCAGAGCAGTGATGTGCAACCCTTTCCAGCTCATAGCGCACACAACCCTTTCCAGTTCATAGCGCACACCCAAATCCTGCAGCACACCAAACAATACGTTTTGATTTATCTCTGGAAGGCTATTCTTTTACCTTTTTTTTTTTTAATATATATATTTTATTGATTTTTAACAGAGAGGAAGAGAGAGGGATAGAGTTAGAAACGTCGATGAGAGAGAATCATCGATCAGCTGTCTCTTGCACACCCCCCACTGGGGCTGTGCCCACAACCAAGGTACATGCCCTTGACCGGAATCGAACCTGGGACCTTCCAGTCCACAGGCTGATGCTCTATCCACTGAGCTAAACCGGTTTCGGCTATTCTTTTACTCTTAATATACTTTTATTTTTCATTCCAGAGAGGAAGGAAGAGGGAGAGAGAGATAGAAACATCGATGATGAGAGAGGATTATTGATCGGCTGCCTCCTGCACGCCCCACCCTGGGGATGGAGCCTGCAACCCAGGCCTGTGCCCCGACCTGGAATCGAACCGTGACCTCCTGGTTCATAGGTTGACACTCAACCACTGAGTCACGCCAGCCAGGCTGGAAGGCTACTTCTGTGTTGGCTGTTGTCATTTTTAAAATTTGACAACCTCAGGGAAAGGTGCCCCTGACTAAATACTCAGGTATTGCGTGTTTTAAAGATTCTTATGGCACACCGGCTGAAAATGGCTGTGCTAGGGGCCCGGAAGGGGCCACAGGAGAGCCAGGGCTGGCAAGGACAGATGGGCCACTCACCATCGGTAACGGAAGCTGGCTTTCTCAGGCTGGAGGTCGAAGGCTTGTGAGAAGATATTCAGGGCATCCAGAAAGGCACATTGCTCAAACAGGCACTGGCCCTGGGGACACGGGGGACAGTCCCTCTGCGTGCATCCCCGGCCCAGCAGCACTCAGGAGGGCGGCAGGCAGCATGGGGGTGGGAGAGGAGGCAGAGCGGGGCTCAGAGCTCTCTAGATCTGGAGAGGCGTTAAGAGGCAGAGACACTGAGATGGAAAGAGATACAGAGCTAGGGAGAGATAGCCAGCACTACAGAGGCACAGGAACAAAGATACATAGCGACAGAGCCCTCAGTAACAGGCTCGGAGCCCCGTGTTAAGAACCAGAACGAACAATCTCACTGGTACTAAGGAGCATCCGCCTTCCCGAGGAAAGAGCTGGGGCTCAGAGAGGTGACGTCACTTCCCCAGGGTCGCACAGGAAGTGTTAGCTCTGGACTCAGGACCCCAACAGCAGATGAAGTATGTGGTTTGGATAGCCCCAAAGTTTCAAGAATTGAATAATGAGTGACATTAAAAGATATCCAAGTTGTCAAAAATGGGGGGGGGGGGGAATAGGACTTTGTTGGTATTTATGGTTTAATATTGGTGTTTTGTTGTTTTTGTTTTTGTTTTTTTAATATATATTTTATTGATTTTTTACAGAGAGGAAGGGAGAGAGATACAGGTCGATGAGAGAGAAACATCAACCAGCTGCCTCTTGCACACCCCCTGCTGGGGATGTGCCCGAAACCAATGTACATGCCCTTGGCCGGAATCGAACCTGGGACCTTTCAGTCCACAGACCAACGCTCTACCACTGAGCCAAACCTGTTTTGGCATGTTGTTGTTTTTTTAAATGCAAATGAGGCTGGTATTACCTTTCAAGTGCTTAGAGTCTCTAGATTCTAGGTCTGTACTACCCAATACAATAGCCACCAGCGTCATGTGGCTATATCAATTTCATTTAAAAGAAATACAACTTAGCCGAAACCGGTTTGGCTCAGTGGATAGAGCATCGGCCTGGGGACTGAAGGGTCCCGGGTTCGATTCTGGTCAAGGGCATGTATCTTGGTTGCGGGCACATCCCCTGGAGGGGGTGTGCAAGAGGCAGCTGATCAATGATTCTCTCTCATCAATGTTTCCAACTCTCTATCCCTCTCTCTTCCCTTCTGTAAAAAATCAATAAAATATATTAAAAAAAATAAAAGAAAGAAATAAACTTAAAAATGAGTTCCTCAGTCACAGTTGCCACATTTCAAGGGCTCAGCAGTGTCCCGTGGCTAATGGCCACCAGATGGTACAGTGCCGGAAGGTCATCGTCATTATCGCAGAGCGTTCTGTTGGACAGCGTCACTAAACTGTACCCGCCCCGGTGGTAAGCCTACTTGGGAGGTGAGAGAGGCCCTGAGAGGGGAGCAGGTGGGGAACAGACACAGGGCCAAGGAGCTCTCCAGGAAGTCAGAACTGGTCCCAGGAGCAAGGAGAGCCCCCGCGGCCGCGGAGCGGTCCAGCGGGCCCGGTGGGAGGTGTGGCCTGGGCGGCGCCGGGCACCTGCAGGTAAAGCACCAAGGTGAGTCGGTTCAGGAACTGGTCATTCTCGGGCTGGAAGGAGTGGGCCCTCCGCAGGTTCTGGACAGCCGAGGAGTAGTCGCAGAGCTGGATGTAGGCTTCGGCTCTTAAGGCGTAGAAGTCGACCTGATGGGGAGGGGACTCAGGAGGGCGCTCGGTTACCAGCAGGGACTCGGCCCCTAGATGAGGGACCGGGAAGCCATGACAGCGAGGGGGGCGTGTGTGCTACAGACTGGGTGTGGCCCCCGAACCCCGCCCCCTCACCAGCTGGGGGTCCAGGTGGATGGCACGGGAGAAGAACAACACAGCTGTTTCCCAGTCTTCTCGCTCCAAGCACCAGTGGCCTCGGTGGTAGCTGTGGGGGCAAGGGGCACAGGCAGAGAAGTGGCCTTGACTCTGATCAGCCGGAGGGCATACAGCTAGGACTGTGCAAGTGGGTGGGAGGCATTTGGGTGGAGAGACCAGGAGAGGAGACAGAGATTCTCGGAGCTCATCCAGGCCGGTAGCAGCCTCTGATTCTCTGAGGCAGGTGAGCCCTGTTATACAGTTGTGTTCAGTGGAGCCCAGGGAGGGAGAGTAACTGGCCCAGAGCCGCACAGCATGTCAATTACTGTGCAGAATAGAAACCAGGGACCTTGGGACAAGGTAGTCACTCACTACTCCCTGACTTTGAGAGGAACTGTTAACCCAGAGAGTGTTGGTTTTATTTCATCAAAGCTTCGGAACGCCTGGCTGGACCCAAAGATGCGATGTATGGTCTCCTTTGGGAGTGGATTCGCCAATGGCTTTGGCTCCAGAAACTCCTAGAACCAAAGGACAGCAAGCTGGAGCAGGCCTCGGAGATGACCCCCACTCCGCTTAGACACGCTTGTCAGGTGTTTTATGGGGTGGAGGAGAGGTGGGAATGAGGCCTGGTAGGAGGCAAAACCTGGGGTCTGGTGGCACCCCAGCCGCATTCCCCTGAGGAATGTTCTAACTCTCCCTCCAGTCCACCTCTCTCCCTTTCCTAAGGTCAAGGTCAGGGTTTAGGATTCTCATACGCATACTTGATAGATCCTCCCTTCCTCCAGTTGATGGACAGACATAAGCCCCACCTGCGGCCAGACATTCCTGAGCTCTGAACCACCAATCAGCACCTGCCAAATACCCTAAGCCCCCGATTCCTAAGTCCCTAGGTCCCTAATCACCAATCAGCGTGTGCTGAGTGCCCTAAGCTCCGTCCCTATCCTTAAAGGTGCTTGTACCCCGGCCATCGCTCTCTCTTCAGCCCCTCTGTGGAAGCAGCCGGTAGGGGTACCCTTCCCTCCAATAAAGCCTGTGTATGTCCTGCCATCCCGATCTCTGGCTATCTTCTCTATTTAATCTATCAATACTGTCCTCAGCTCTCCTCCTGGTCCCCCTCTGCACTCACCTCCAGCTATACCCAAGACTAATGCCTCCAGCTCAGGCCCTGCCCCAAGCTGCCCTGGGATCCTCCTGCCCAGCAGGCCCAGCTGACCACCGCACCTGACTTCTGCTCTAGCTCTCCCGCCTCGGGAGACCCACCTTCTCTGAAGCTACAGACCTGTGTCCCATCATCAGTCCTCAAGTCCTGTCTGTCCCCCCTTCCTCACGACCTCTTAGTCCCTCCTCTTCTCTCACCCTCTCCTCTGGGCCCATGCCATCCCAGCCAGGACGCCAGCATCGGCCACTCCTCGGACCTTCCCACCGGCCACAAGTCCCAGCAATTGCACCACCGATCCTGCCTCGCCCGTACTCTTAAATCTTCCCTGCGCACCCAGCCGTGGTCTCTGCTCCCCCGGCCCTCTGCCTTTGCCTTAGAATCTCCCGCACCTCTTGGGAGTCTGTCATGAGGTCGCTCCCCGGGAGGCCGGTGGCTCTGAGTTGGCTCCCTCTAGTCCCTCTCCCTCCGCGTTGCTAGGCACCATCTCCACGACGCCCACAGGCTCCGCCCCCTGGCCACGCCCCCGGGTTCCAAGAACTGTTGGAGCCCGGAAAAGGGCCACACGCTTTTGTCAGCTGGGGAGGCCGGACAGCGGGGGTCAGGACACGGCTCCCTTCTCAACACCCGGGGACCCAGCAAGGGCTCTGTGAGGCCCACCACACGCCCCGACGGCACAGGGTGACGCCGCCCCGCGGAACGCGTCGGGGCGCCCTGGGACAGCCACCGCCCCGCCCCGCCACTTCCGCCCCTCGGAAGCGTGGCGACCCGCGGCCCGCCCAGGATTGGACGCTGGCGGCAGGCGGCGGCCACGATTGGTCGAGGGGTGGTGACGTCAGGGGCGGGGCTGTTCCGGGATGGGAACCACGTGCCGGCCGCCGCCGCGCCTTCGCCGGGCGGGGCGGCTGCTGAGGCGAGCCATGAGCGGGTGCGTTTGGGAACTCGGACCCCCGGGGAAGCGGTGGCTGGTGAGTGGGGTGAAGGGGGTGACGTAGGGGCTCCCGGGGACCGAACTCCAGTGTCGCCTCTGCCTCCCGGACGAAGGCCCCCAGGTTCTCGGCCTCCGTGTTGCTGTTTTAAATGGAGAAATGGGTCCCGGACTCCGACGGGCTCCAAACTCCCCGAAACTCCGCCCCGGCGCCCCGCCTGTCCGGCCCGCCCAGCCCGCGGGGCGCCCGCTCCCCCAAAGCCTTCTGGAGTCTCCGGGGTCTCCGGGCCCCCTCCCCGCGCACCTTCCCCACTCCGTTCCCGCTTTGCGTTGCCCTCCTCCGGCTTCGGGTCCCAGCGGGCACGGTGAGATACAGGGTGTGGGGAGCCGTCGGGCCTCAGTTTCCCCCGTGCCGCCCGCAGGTGGCCGGCCTGGGGAACCCCGGGCTTCCCGGCACGCGGCACAGCGTGGGGATGGCGGTGCTGGGGCAGCTGGCGCGGCGTCTGGGGGTGGCGGAGCGCTGGGCCCGCGACCGCCGCTGCGCCGCCGACCTCGCCCGGGCCGCGCTGGGGGACGCCCAGCTGGTCCTGCTGCGGCCGCGGCGGCTCATGAATGCCAACGGGCGCAGCGTGGCCCGCGCCGGTGAGTTGGGGGCGCCCGGGGAGCCTGCCTGGGGGGCGCAGGGGCCACGGTTCACCTCCCGAGTTCCAGCTGCCGCATGGCCTCGGGTATTGCGGGAGCCTCGGTTTCTTTAAACTGTGGCCTCTCCCGGGAGTTGGGAGATGAGAGGTGGAAAAGCGCCCCCTGGGCCGGCCAGCGGTAACCGGGCCACCGTCTCCCTGTGCCAAGCGGAGCTGTTGGGGCTGACTGCCGAGGAGGTCTACCTGGTGCACGACGACCTGGACAAGCCGCTGGGGAAACTGGCTCTGAAGCTGGGGGGAAGCGCCAGGTGAGGCCCAAGCCCGTCTGGGTGGGGCGGGGAGGTGGCCTCCCATTTGAAGTGGGGGAGGGTGCCAGCCCCAGCCCGGGCTGGGAGAGGGAAGGGTGCTGACTCAGGGAAGCACTGACTGCCCCTCTCCCATCCCTCCAAGGGGCCATAATGGAGTCCGTTCCTGCATTAGCTGCCTCAACTCCAACGTGAGTCCGCCCCCCTTGGTTCTGCTCTGGGTGGGTGGTTTGGCCTGGGGCCCAACACTCCTCTCCAAAGCTGCCTGCGCCCCTCTGCTCCTCACAGGCAATGCCCCGGCTGCGGGTGGGCATCGGGCGCCCGACACACCCCAATGCAGTGCAGGCACACGTGCTGGGCCGCTTCTCCCCGTCGGAGCAGGAACTGCTGCCCCCAGTGCTGGAGCGTGCCACAGACCTGCTCCTGGACCACATCCGCGAGCGAAGCCAGGGGCCCTGGTCAGGCACCTGACACCAGTGGGCACCGCTGCCTGCTCACCTGCCATGCCCAGATACCCAGCCACGTCCACAGAGGTGTCACGCCAACCTGCGGGATCCACATTTTATATAACTTGTCTGGACTACTCTAGGCTTTCTGGGATTAAAAGGGACTGGGGCTGGATCGGTCCATTTTGGGGATGAGGGTTGGTCTTCTCTCTGTGTCTTACTTGGAAAGTAGGGAAACTTCAGGAAGACTGAGCTTTTTCATCTTTTTTGAAGACTCGGAGGGTTGGAACTGTAAGATTAAAGATGCCTGCTCAGAAGCTGAAGCTTCCTCAGGGGGTTCCGACCCTTCTCCTGCCTGCGGAGGAGGGACCCAGCAGCCCCCCTCCCAGGGGCTGTGTGGGCATGCCTTGGGGCTCTGAGGCCTTGTCACTCCTTCCTTCAGCCCATTCCACAGATGGGGAAATGGAGGCTTAGAGAAGTCTAGCCATATCCCCAAGGCCACACATGGCAGTGTGACTAAGCCATGATCGGCACCCAGGGCTGGCTGTCATCTTGCTGCCATCGAGGTCCCAGGCACTCTCACCTCAGTGCTGCCGAATGTTTGGAATGATCTCATACGAGTGACGTGTGACAGCACCCTGAGGTCTTCGGGGTTGGGTGAGAGGTGGACCGTACGAGACATCAGGCCCATGTCTATCAGCTGGTAGCTTGGGAAGTCAGACAGCTGTTGGAGCATTGACCCATTCCTGCGTGGCGGAGTGCTGCTCTGGCTGCGGAGGGGGGGTGTGTGGTGGTAATCACCTCCATTTCAGAGATTAGGAGGCTAAGGTTCAGAGGGGCTTTGAGAAGCCCACATTCTGGCCTAGGGTCACTGAGTCAGTCCTTGACCAGTCCTACAGCTGCTTCTGAGGTCACACCAGGTCACTCACCTCTCCTTTTGGCCATGACGGTGGTGGGCACTCAGGACCATGGTGGGGCTGAGCATGGACAGCAGCTGCCGCAGAATCTCCTTGCAGTGAAGCTGGTACACTATTTCGGAGTTGCCGTCCTCCTCTTCTGGTTGCAGATGCTGGGAGGGGTGGGGATGGGCGCATGGGATCAGGCCCATAGGGGCCCCAACACCCACCTCTGGGAAACTCCAACCCAGTGCCTGTTTTAAAAAGTGTGCCCCGGCTGTGGTGCGGTACCCATTCTCCAAAAAGCCCAAGGCCTTCCAGGGCCTCAGAGAAGGAAGGACTCCATCCAGTTTCTTTAAGACTCAGAAAAGGACAGATTTGCCAGGAGTCTCTCAGGGAAAAGTGGGGTGTCTGACCCTGGCGTGGCTTTCTCCGCGAGCCCAGTTATCTCGGAGCGGTTTCTGTCCTTGACCGACCCCTGCACCCCCCACCCCCCAACCACCACCACCTTCACCCACTTCTTGTTCACCTTCATAACACTCTGTAGGAAGTTGGTGGCCTGGGTCAGGGCCGTCCCCAGGCTTGCCCGCACCTTCTGCTCTTTGGCCAGCTCATGCTGCAGCCGCTGCACCTCAGCGTGCTGGTGCTCCAGCTGCTGGCTCAGCTGGTTTTTCTGGCTCCTGGTGGTGGGACCAGAGGAGTCAGCCACCTCCCTACTCCAGGGTGTTGGGCCCAGCCATTGCTCCGTAGCCCACAGGGCCCCTCATCCAGCCCCAGGCTCTTCCAGAGAGAGGAAGTCACTGGCCTGCGCCATGTGGCCCCACCTCAGTGCCTCCTTGTCCTTCTGCAGGTGCTGGACTTTCCGCTCCAGTTCGCCCAGCATGAAACGCTGGTGCTCAGCCTCTGCTTTGTCCTGCTGCTGCTCGTGGTACTTCTCAGTCAGCATGAGGATGATCTGTGGGTGCGGGCAGATGGCCATACCCCGGATCCACCGTGGGCTCTTAGCCAGCCCCACGCCCCCAGTTCTAGACTCGGCCAGGGCTCACCCCACTGCACAGAGAGGTCACATCCCCGGAGAGCAGCTGGGCAGGGCCTCAGCTCTCCGGGAGTGGGTTCCACTTCAAGTTACAGGGGCTTTAAGCCAAACATTAAAAATGAGCCGGGGCCAGCACCGTAGAGCCCCCACAAGTAGGGCCGGTCCTCTCACAGCTGGCTCCCTCGGCACTTGGCCCCAGGCCAGGTACACCCTGCCAAGTGTGTGTTTGCCCTCAGGGCAGGGCCCCTGGAATGCCCTCCAGTAGGTGCCGAACCCCCTGTGCTGGCAGGCACACCTTCTGGTTGTTTTTGCTGTGCTTGGCCATGGCCTGCCTGGTGTTCCGCAGCATCTCCAGCTCTTTGTACAGCTTGTCTTGGTTGCACTTGAGCTGGTCGTTCTCCCGCAGCAGCTGGATGCCATGCTGGGAGACCCTGGACAGCTGCAGGGTAATAGTGTTGTTCTCCAGGATGGCCTGCTTCGTTGTGTCCCACATCTGGCTAGTGGCCACCTTGTGGAAGTCCGTGGCCACCTGGTTCACACGCTGAATGATCTCCTTCTTCACTCTACTCGGGATGGGTGGGGATGAAAGGGGTCAGGCAGAGTGGGCACAGACCTCAGGCACCCCCTTCCTATGTGGAGGTGCCCAGAGTGCTTAGGGCCACCTCTGCTAGTCCCTCCAGGAAGGGGTGGGCTGTGGGCAGGAGGCTTCTCACTGTAGACCCTTTGTACCTTTTTAAATATATTTTTTTGTATTGATTTCAGAGAGGAAGGGAGAGGGAGAGAAAGAAACATCAATGATCTGCACACCCTCTACTGGGGATTGAGCACACAACCCAGGCATGTGCCTTTGACCAGAATCAAACCTGGGACCCTTCAGTCCACAGGCCGATGCTCAATCTACAGAGCCAAATCTGTTATGGCACCCTTTGTACCTTGAATTATGAACCAAATCAATGTATTACCTATAAAATAAATGACTTAAGTCACACCACCTGGCAAAGGGAAGGTGAGGAATTCTCCAATGCCAGTGTGAGGGCGAGCCGGGGAGCTTGGTGGTTTTCTCACACCCTCCATAAACCTGCCAGGATCCCGGGGAGCGCAGGATGGGAGTCGATGAGCTACACAGTCTCCCCGATCAGAAGTGAGGCAAACTGGTCTGAGGACCAGGCTGCACCTGCCCCACTGATAGAGGCTCCCAGCACCCGGCCTGCCCACCTGTCCCTGTCCAGCACCGACTTCTTCTCCAGGTTGTACATGTAGTCCTTGTATTCTTTATCCTGCTTCTGCAGCTGGTCCTCCAGCAATGAGAACTTTTCTGAGAGTTCCTCTTTCTGCTGCCGGAACTCCTCCAGGGCTGCCAGCTTCCCCCCTGCCCCCTCCCAGGACACAGGCCTGGTGAGGGGCCGCCCAGGAGGGCAGGTCCCAGGGGCAGCGAGGGCCTAGAGCAATGCCCCTCCCTCCCCACTTCCTCTTGCTTGCCTTAGGGTTCCTGATCCAGTAGAGCCAGACCCCTGCCCTACACCCAGTCCTGCCCATCTTTACTGCTTTATTCTGGGACGCTCTCTTCCCCTCCACTAATCTTACCAAGACTCGTTCAGCTTTCACCTCTGAGAGGCTGTGCTTGACACTCCACGCCGGTCTGATGAAGGCGTGGTGACAGCAACTATGCAGTCGGATCACCTCTGGGCCGGCATTCATGCTGTCATTAAGCCTCAAAACAACCCTTGCCCCCTGGGTGACCTTGGCCAAGACACTTCACCTTCTTACGGTGCTCCCTTACCTACAAATGGGGGAGATAGCACTTCCTGCTTCATAGGATTGCTGGGACATTCATTATGGAAGGTAATGAGTGTGTAGGAAGCAGCACATAGTTGCTGTTGTTTAAGGTAGACATATCCCCATTTCCCAGGTGGGAAAACTGTCAGAGGTAAGTGCTTGCCCAAGCCCACAGATAGTGGTGGAGCTAGGACTTGAGCACGCAGAGCCAGAGACTTGGGTTCCCTGTCTCCATGGCAGGTGCCCCCAGGCCCCGCTCACCAATGATGATGTTCTCCGTGGTGAGCTGATCCTTGGTCTCCTGGAACTCATGGCGCACCTGGGCTAGCTGGGCTTCAAAGGCATCCTTCTCCATCTCCTTGGCCAGCTGCAGGCTCTGGAGCTGCTCATTGAGGTCAGCGATCTCATCCATCCGCTGGTTGAGCGTGCGCTTGAGGAAGGCCACAATCTCCTTTTTATTGTTGGCCAGCTGCTCATACTCCTGGCGGAATAGCTTCTCCTGCACGGCCAGCTCGTCCCACTTGTGCTGGTACCTGAGGCGAGGGTGGGGCAGAGCTCCAAGGGTCTGGGCATGCCAGGCCTCTGCCACTGGGCCACCTTCCTCAAGACCTTCCCACAGAGGGGCATGTGAGGTTCCTCATGGTCAGAATCCAGCCTCCTCCCCCTGACCTGCACTCATGACCATAGCCAGTGTCTGCTCAGTGCATTGCTTTCATCACATCATTACAATGGCAGGTCCATTGAGGGCAGAGCCTTCCTCTCGTGTTCACAGCTGTGTATAGCAGATATTCGTATATTTGCTGAATTCTCACAACAGCCCATAAAGAAGTGGGTACTATGATGATTATATGCATTTGACAGATGAGAAAACGGAGGCTCAGAGAAATAAACTCCTAGTAAGTGGCAAAACCAGAATTTGAACTCAAGTCAATCTGACCCCAAAGTCAAGGCTCAACCACAACACTTACTGCCGAAATGGACCAGCTCTGTGTCCTCCCTACCCTTTGCACCTGCTAGCTTCCTTACCTTCAGGCACTATTACCTCAGTGGAGTTTTCTTGGCTTTGAGCCATATTCGTGACCCTCTCTTTGGTGCCCTTGTCTCACTGGGCAGTCAAGACCTGATGTGTGTCTTCACCACCTGGCTGACCTCTGACCTCCTCACCTCTATATTCTTGGGGCCTGGCAGAGGAGCTGAGCAAATAATAAGCACCCACTACTGTTTCCCAAATGCATTTTCCCCAAATACATTCAATCCAGTGCCTCAGCTTGAAGGAAGCTTGTGAATTTTTAAGAGTATCATCTGATCTATTGATTTCCAAGGGAATAATTGGTGATATTTGGAAAGATGTTTTAATTCACAATTTACCCAACTAACATCTTTTGAATGGCTACTGCATACAGGGCCCTGCAGGGTGCAGCACTGAGTGACCTGCTCTGTGGAGCAAGGAAGCAGCCTGGTGTAGGAGAGTCAGGGGGCCAGAGCTCCCATTCTGCCACCTCTTCCTCCTGGAGGCGACCTGCCCTCCCTGAGCCTCAGACCCTCCATCTGTGTAATAGTGATGCATGTGGACCTCTCTCATGGCTGTGTTCAAGAACACACTGAGCACCAGCACAGCACCCACCTGGCACACATGAAGGAGGCAACATTAGCTGTATCTGCAACATGTGGGGTTCTTGCTCATCACCAAAGGGTCTTTTAGGGGTGACCCTGAGACTGAGCCAGTGCATCATAACTGGGAGGAAACTTGGTTTGAAAATAAGAAAAATGGCCAGATGAACATGTCTTGGAAGACACACACACACACACACACTCCCATCCCCAGCTGAGCCTCTGGCCCCACAGGACCAGACTCTGTGCCCACCCACCGGGCCAGCCTGTCCTCCAGGTCTCGGATCTGGATGTGGTAGAACTCCCGTAACTCCTCGGCTAAAGCCATCTCCATGGGCACAACGGGTTCCTTGACACTTTTCTTCTCCTTGGCCACCTTGTTTGCCTTCTTTTTGGGAGCCATGGCTGGTAACCACCACTACCTCAGGGCTCCTTTAAAAGACCAGGTGGTTGCTAAGGAAGTTGGTCTCATACATAGCAACAAACTGAAACAAGGCTTAAAGGGGCCCTGCCCTATTTTGGGCAAGGCTGGCACTGGCAAACGGTCTGCAACTCCAAGGCTGACAGAACCTCCATAGAGGTTCTTGGTTGGGGTTTCCTAGGTTCTGATGTCTCCAGACCAGGATGGCAGCTCTCAGGGCACTCTTGGGCACTCTTGGGCCTTCTCCTCCAAGTGGCAATAAGTGATGTAGAAATAGTAGTTCAGAGGCCTAGAAGTCACTCCCTGCCCCTTTGTGCTGATCAGGGGGACATCTTGCCCAGAGCTCCCCAAGTCCGAAGAAGCTGGTCACCAGGGCCCCAGGCCAAGAAACTCCTCCCTGAGGCCTGAGACCAGCTTAATTCTTTGGTGATGCAGCTACATAGCAGAATCATCCTCTTGGTTCACCCAAAGCAAGTGGGGAGGCAGCACGGTAAGGGTAGGTATTTTAGTGAGCATCGACCTACGAAGTGGGAGGTCACAGCTCAATTCCGGTCAGGCCAGGTGCCTGGGTTGTGGGCTTGATCCCGTGTGGGGCACAGGAAGCAGCCAATTAATGATTCTCATCATTGATGTTTCTTTTTTCTTTTTCTTTTTTTTTTTTAATATATTTTTATTGATTTTTTTTTTTACAGAGAGGAAGGGAGAGAGATAGAGAGCTAGAAACGTCGATGAGAGAGAAACATCGACCAGCTGCCTCCTGCACACCCCCTACTGGGGATGTGCCCGCAACCAATGTACATGCCCTTGACCGGAATCGAACCCAGGACCCTTCAGTCCGCAGACCGACGCTCTACCACTGAGCCAAACCAGCTTCGGCTCATCATTGATGTTTCTATCTCTATCCCTCCCTCTCCCTTCCGAAATACAAAAAAAAAAAAAAGATATCTATATTTTTAAAAAATAGATGTTTTATAGAGGAGGCTCCCATACTGGGGTCCCAAGACATCCCTGTCCAGAGGCTGGCTCAGTTTTCCACACGGCTCAGTGAAAGCGCTCCATTTGTCCCGCGCTGACCCCGGCAGACAAAGGCCTTACTCTGGAGCTTTGCCCTGACTGGCCCCTCATGCTCCATCTCCCCTCACCCGCCCCCCCTCCTGAAGACCATGCCTGTAGGCCTGTAGATTCACACATAGCTTGTGGCCCAGGCACTCCTGGGGCAGGGGCGGGTCCTCTTCACCCCTGTTGTCCTAGAGCTTGGCACTTAGCAAGAGATGACACAGTCCATCCTGGCAGTTTGAAGGCTAGTCAGGGTGAAACCCAATTACTTTTGTCTTAGGGGTTGGCTTGAGCGGTAGATCCTTGCAGTGGGTGCCAAGGGACGGGGAAGGTTCAGAAACAGAGAGGTGAGTGTTTACTTTTGGCCATGAGGCAGGTTGGAGCAGTGGTTGGTTAAAGGTGGGCTTGAGTTTCTCTGCCCTGGACTGCAAACAGGACAATACAGGCCCAGAGAGGAGAATGGCCTGACCCAGTGCCCAAAACGGGGCTAGCAGAGGGACTGGCCCTCCAGCCTAAAGCAATGGCCATTCCTCCAGCTACAGATCGCTGCCTCACTGACCTGAGAAGCTCCCCCACAGAAGCCTTGCCCAAGCAAAGGGTCCCCATGGAGCCTGAACCCCCCAGCTGCCTTCTCCTTCCTCTTGCCTCCTGGGTTGCTACCCTTTTACCGGAGGCCCATCTCAGGGTAGTTCTGAATCCCCGCCTGATGGGCTGCCTAGAGCCCACAGAAGGTATCAGCTCTTGGGCCTGTACTTCCTCCTGGGGGTCAAGGCCAGGTTTATAAATGCAGCTGCAGTCACACAGCTAGAGTGACAGCTGGACTGTCCGGCCGGCCTTCTTGATGGTGGGGAGGGGAAGGGAATGCTGCAGGTTGAAGGATACCCCTTTCTGGAACTTGTTTGGAGTCTCTCCAAAGCTCCCTATTCTGGGGCCACAGTCCTCACCTTTCCCAGAGAGCCATCTCATTGCTACTGCTTAAACTGTGTCCACACTGGGGACTGGTGGTGGTGGGCTCAGAGCCTCCTGACTTTGTGATCTGAGTCTTCTGAGAGAAGCAGGTGCAGTGCACACAGCCCAGGAGGCGGCAGCATCAGTCCAGGGCAGTGGCCGGTGGGCTGGGGCACTGCCACCTCTAGAAAGCACTGGAGGGAAGGAAGCCTAGGAGCAGTGGAGACAGGGCGGCGGACACGCATCATTCAACATACCTGACATCTTGCCAACCTCTGTGGAGCACATGACATAAGAGATTTGTTCATCCAGGGTGTGTGTGTGTGTGTGTGTGTGTGAGATACAGTACTACCGTCCACTAGTGTGAGCTCATGAGGACCCAGTCTGCCTTGTTTGTGGCTGCATTCCTAGAGCCTAGGATGGAAGTTGGCACATAGTAGGCACTTACAAACATCTACTTACTGACCACACGTGGAGGGGATTCCAGAATAGCATAGTAAGGAGCTCGATCCAACCTCCCTTCAGCAAGACAATTTAATTGAAGATTTAAAAACAAGAAAATTATTTAAAGTATCTGAAAATTGTTCTAAGGGTATACAGAAAATGGGAAAACATTCATTTAAGAAAATCTGCCCACTGGTGTGGCTCAGTGGTTAAGCATCCACTATGAATCATAAGGTCATGGTTCAATTCCCAGTTAGGACACATACCTGGGTTGCGGGCTCAATCCCCCACTGGTGAAATGCAGGAGGCAGCCAATTGATGATTCTCATCATTGATGTCTCTATCGCCCTCTCCCTTTCTAAAATGAATAAAAATATTTTTTAAATTAACAAAACAATAAAGAAAAAGTTTCCACACAGGCAGTAGAATGAGAAAGTGCCAAAGAAAGAAGCCTGTCAACCAAGAATTCTATATCCAGCAAAATTACCCTTCAGTATCACTCTTCCACAGGCATCCCTCACAGGAGGGAACAAAGTTCCTCATCAAGGTCCTGTGGATTTGAGCCAAGCCTGCTTGATGCCAAGGTCTGTGCTCCTAGTCATTGCCATTCTGCCTCCCAGGAACAAAAGCCTGGTGTCACACCAACGTGGCGTATAGGCACATGAGCAGGGTCTGGCGGAGACCTCCAGCATGCAGCCTCTGAGATGGAGACATACTAGACACAGAGAAATAGGGTGATGGAAGGACAATGTTATCTACAGGTAGCTTGCTGTTGCTGCTAGGGGCCAAGACAAGCTTCACAGATTGTCCCCAAATGTGCAACAGCTACAGATCTTAATGTAAGTAACGGAGACCCGGATCCAGGAGACTCCAAGCCGTGGCTGGGGTGGCTGGACTCCTCTGCCATGGACCATTGCAGAAGCCTTTCTTTCCACTTTCCACAGTGAAACCAGCCCACAGTCACCTTGGACACCATGAATGAGCGCCAAATTATTTCTTTATTAGACTGAAGTACTTTAGTACAGAACAGTACAGAGATGATACATGTTTGTGCTTCAATACTTTCAAACACTGAAATTCTGATAATTTCAAGGTAAACAAGTTTCAAGACAGACTAGGTTTTTAAAATATCCTTTTGATAAATTATTTTTTCTATAAATAACAGAGAAAAGAAAACCAACATGTTCGACGAACAAAGTCCTAAAGCGTAAGCATTGGTCACGGGGAGGGGACAAAACAAGCAGTAACAGTAAGAAACCAACGAATGCAAGTACCTACAGCTCTGTCCTAAGGAAATAAGATATCGTCAGGGGCGAGGGGAGACAGGCCTGAGAACTAATCTGAGTGCAAAGGGGGGAGAGGTTTCCAGGCCGTGAGGAGAGAACACCACAGGCATCTACCGGGCGGGCGAGGAGCATGTTCTGAAAGGAGAGCGGGCGAGTTAAACTAGCACACACCACGTTTGCAACGACATCACAAGACAGTAATATACACGCGGTCTGCAGGAGTAAAAGGGTGGCGGGGGCTGGACAGGGGACATTTTTGTGACTTCCACTGTCATTATATTTCATGACAACAGCAGCAGAACAAACAGTGTGCTCACTCCCGGAGAACGAGAACTGCTGAGTCTTGAGGATGACGAGACATCCTGCCTGCATTTGCTTCTTTAAGTTTCGCCTTAGAGCTAAGTTTTATACAGCTAGGTTTTTATACAGGGAATAAAATGACCATTTTCTCTTACAAGCACAACAACATATGACCCTGCACTACAAAAAAATAAGATATTAGGAAGTATATTCCACTGAGGATCATCTGAGTGGGCAAAAGTCTGTATAAATCCATTGGACTATGATTCTGGCCATTGGATGTCTTAGGGGACAGGCCCTCTCTACAGAGAAGGCCCTCTGACAGCATCCTGCAGAGCCCACTCTGTTCTAGTCCATTCCTAACCCCTGAGCTTTCCCAGGCTGACCCCAATAAGAAAGACTTTCTCTGATCAAAAGATCAGGCCTAAATCCTTCTCCAGGCGACCAAGGTCTCCAGGGGGAGCTTGCTCCTCACTGGTCAGGGCACAGTGACTTAGACCACAGAGCGACTTCCCTCAGGGCCACTGTGCTGTGGACGCAGCCATGGAGGGCACGGTGACAAGCTGAACACCAGCCCCAGCCCAGCCCCAGCACTGGGGATATGGGCCACCAAGGAAAGCAAAGAGGTGGGTTCCAGCTCCAACCTCCGAGTTGCCACCTGGTCCTCCCTGCCCAGCCTACCTGATGAGAGCAGGCACTGGGGCGTGGGGATCGGAGTGAAAGGACAGAGAGAGACTCAGTTTGAAATACTCCCGGAACAGACATCTGCATCCCAATAAGAACAGAAACAACCCAAGACAGGTTTTTAAAAACACTCAAGCATCTGCCTGCCCATACTCAAGCAATCGGCACGTGTCGCACCAGGTTATGTACAAGGTCACGGAATCCTAACTAATGGGAGAAGGTGTCCATTCACTCTGAACAGTCCCAAAACTTCTCCAGCAGCGT